GGAACCTTCTAAACTTGGACCTGAGTTTAATTAGGGGTGTTGGGCATTCTTACCTGAAATCACAAGAGAAAAACTGAAGTTGTTCCTCATTTGGGGTCTGTTTATTACCTATAATTATTCTCCCTGTTCAAAATTACAATTGAGGATTATTTATATTTTTCTCTTCCCCCTTTTCCTTTTTCATTCTCATCAAGAATTATTTACTGAGCATCTATTATGGTCAAAATACTAAGCTAAATTTTGAGAGAGCCAAAAGCTCAACAGAATTGCTCCTCTCCATACCTGTTTGGGCAGTTTAGTTACATAGGGGAGAGAATAGCCATAGAATAGCCATAGTAGAAGGTAGTTTTTGATGATGAATGCCAGATGAATTTCTATATAAAATGTTCTGAGTTAGCAGTTTAGTAAAAGAGATTGAGCCTGTAGTTCCCTCTAATTGGTGAATACACTTTATCTTCAATTTTCCCAAATCACAGCTGCTGCCTTGATCTACCTTTTTTTACAGGAATTAAAATTCTAAGGTGTCATCTGGAATTTGAGAGCCATGCTCCATTAACATTAATGAGTGACTTTTGGTTAAATCTTCATGGATCAGGCTGAACATCTCCCTGTAGGTATTGGTTCACATTTCATTTCGGTGGGCATCACACCAGCCTGCACTAAAATTGTTTGCTTCATTTAACTAGTAAGGGTGTCCAACAAATCTGTGATTTATGGTTTGAAAAGTATCCAGCTTAGTCCAGGTTGTTACTGAAAATTTCCTGGTTTCTTAGTAGTTACAGCTTCATGTTCAGGTCAAATACAATTGTAAATTTCCAAGCCCTCCTTGTTTCCTGTAGGACTTAGTTAAAAATACTTTGTATATGGGCTGATATGACTTTAAAATGACTGTTCTAACAATAATGGAATTATATAAATTTACTTCTGAAAGCTAGATGTTTAAGTTAAACATTCATGACAATTGAGTTGCCGGACTGTATATTTTTGTCATTGTAATGATTTGTAAAATAACCTTCAGATTCACAGGCATGTGGGTAGGCAATTTTTTAAGTTCTTTCATGAAAAACCCAAGGGACCTCCAAAAAAATCATTATTTCCATTTCCTACATAACTCTGAATAGTGTTTATATTAATTGCATCTACTTTGATTGCAAATTTAATGTCAGGAAACATTGTTGAGATGTGTCATTCAAGGTTAATAAGAAGGTGTTCGGTTATATGATTTAGTCATGAGCCACAGCTTGAGGCCTCAGCCTCCCACTGCTAATGAATTTTCCTCTAAAGCTCCAAGATTTTGAAACTTTGAAGTGCTGGGGGTCGAGGGTGGGTCTTTGTACCTGTGTGTCTGCCCTTTTGTTTGGGGAACTGGTCTTCACCAGCATTTTCTTAACAAGTCAAGTCCCTATTGCAGCGTGACTGTTAGATTAGGAGCCATTAATAATTGGCAATTTGTAGCTGTCATAATGATGCTGGAGACTTTCCAGATGGCTTTTCCCTTTCTCTCTAGAAGAACTAAGCCTTATGCTTATTCCCTTTGATGGGATTTTAATCAAGCAGACATTGGTCATGACCCTTGACCCATAGTAGTGACAAGACTCTGTCGGCTCATCTTTGGTCTGGGGACAGGCCTGTGTCTTGTGTTCCCTAGGACAGACTCACCTGCTTATCAGAGCTTTGGCTTTCTGATAAAAGCACAAGGCTTTGGGAGGGTAGGAATCGGGTATGTTAGAATGGAGGGGTTGGAAGTATTGGGGTGTTGCAAGTATACCTTTGAAGGGAAAAAAAAAAAGAAATGTCCAAGTGAATTTTTGAAATAACTAAACCGGTTGTGAAGGGAACAACCGGAAGCTAAGGGCATTCTCTTTCCTTTGGGCCTGTCTCTGTACTACTCGCAGGCTAGGCACTTAATATAAGTGTAGATTAGGAACAAAATGAGAGTTTCTGCTATTAACTTTAATAGCTAATAATTTTCTCACGTCCAACTTTGTTCCCCTTCTTCTTCCATTACACCTCCCACCCAACCTTAAGAGAAAGAGAAAAAAATGGAATTTTCTGTAGAGTTTTACAGTTAATGTTACCTGAGCAGCATTATGCTTCAGAGTAGGGATAGTGATAGGTGGGAAATATCTTTCCTGGGGAAGTGACGAAGGTTCCAGTGTCAAGCTTCTTTCTGCCTCACGGTTCTCGTTCCTGGGCTGCCCTTTGACTAAGATCCTTGTCTTTGCCTTCACTGAGGTCTCTGCTTGGAGAGTCCTGCCTTGCCTGCTCTCCCTGACCTGCTCCATCTGAGCTAGAGTCTCCCTCCCTGGCCCACAGTCTCCTCAGCCCCTTCACAGTGCTGTCTGCTCCATGGCACTCATTGCTCTCCGGGAAACTGCCTCTCCCACCAGAAAGTAAGCTCCCTGAGCGTAGGCACTGTGTCTTACTGCTGTACACTCAGGGTCTCGTACCTGGTAGAGGTTCAAAAAATATTTATCGAATTAACATATTCATTTCTCACCTTAGGCTCTGTGTGTAGAATCTGAGTCTCTATAAAAATGCTGCTCTGCTCTGCCTGTTGCGTTATCTTAGATGTGCTATTCCAAGATGTGCGGTTTTTCACATTTTCACATTGCTGAAATCGGGATACATATTAAAAATACAGATTTAATTAGGTGATGGTTATCACCCATCAAAGCTGCAACTAAATTGATATACATCTTATAATTAAATGTGCCTTAGAATCAAGGACATTGTGGTAGACAGAATGCCCTCCCTACCAAAGGTGTCCATGTTCTAATTCCTGGGACTTGTGAATATGTCACCTTACATGGTAAGAGGGACTTTGCAGATGTGATTCAGTTAAGGATTTTAAGATAGAGAGATTATCCTGGGTTTTTCAGTTTGGCCCAATGTAATCACAAGGGTCTTTATAAGAGGGAGGTAGAATGGTCAGAGTCAGAGGAAGATTTTATGATGCAAGCAGAAGTGGAGTGATGCAGGACCACAGGCCAAGGAAGGCAGCCTCTAGAAGCTGGAAAGGCAAGGAAATGGATTCTCCCCTACAGCCTCCAGAAGGATTGTAGCTCTGCCAACCATTTTAGACTTCCACCTCCAGAAATATAAGATAACAAATCTGTACTGTTTTAAGCCACTAAACTTGTGGTGATTTGTTATAGCAGCTGCAGGAAACTAATACAGGCATGTTATTACAGGCAATAACATGTATTACATTTAATCTCTCCAACAAGGAGGGGTGAGAATTGGTAGATACATGTCCGGCGTCTCTGCCCCTCAGTGGGGATGTTCTGAGGCATGTTTCATGCAATCTCCCAGAGGATCCCCTTCAAGATTGAGCCCTAATTGCTCACAGCACTCATTAGTGACCCTCTTATTGACTTGCCATGCTACCCTGTCTTCAAGCTTCTTGGATTACTTCCCAAATAAGCCTTTTGCACCCTAATCCTCACCTCAGGTTCTGCTTTTGGATGAACTCTAACTGGGATGTCACCCTAAGCTCAAAGCCTTGGCCCCAAGCATCTGGACCCTGTCTTCTCCTCTCTCTTCATCCCTGCTACCCTCTCTCGCCCACCAAATCCCACCACACCAGCCATTATTCAGAATCTAATCTGTTCCAAATTCCTGCTTCCCATAGGTTGTTTGCACTTCTTCCTCCTGCCTGAATGCTCCTGAGTTGTGTTCATCCTTTAGGTTCCCAATCAAATGTCACTTCCTCATGGAGGTTTCCTGGCCCTCCAGACTATGAATGTTTTTCCTGACCCTCTTGCACTTTTCTTTCATGGCACTTACAAATGAAATGAGTTAATTATCTTATGGGAGGACAATTATCTGTTTCTTTGTGGGTCTCGCAAAGGACTTGAACACACTAGTATCACATGATGTGGGTGTCAGGTAAGATTTATGGGAAACTCACAGGCAGAAGGGACAGCATGGTGCATATGCCCCCCTCCTCTCAGCTGCTAGCTGAGATGCGTGCTGGGCTAGGCACAGCTGGACAAATCATGGGAAGTGCTCCAAGAGAAGGCCCCTGCTGTGTACCACTGTCCATATTTATAAGGTAACTGGGAGGAGACAGGGGACAGCTAGTGAACATGTGATAGTGGAAGCTTCCTGGACAGAGAGATGGCCTTATTGTACCAGAGCTTAGCTGGAAGTATCATCCTAATTTTTTTTTTCTTTCTTTCTTTTTTCTTTTGTTGAAGTACAGTTGATTTACAATGTTGTGTTAGTTTCAGGTGTACAGCAAAGTGATTCAGTTATATATATATAGGTAGTATGTATATTTTATCTATTCTTTTTCAGATTCTTTTCCCTTATAGGTTATTATAAAAATTGAGTATAGTTCCCTGTGCTATATAGTAAGTCCTTGCTGCTTATCTATTTTAGATATAGTAGTGTATGTTAATCCCACACTCCTAATTTTCCCTTAATTTTTAAGTGGAGAGCCCCATCAGTTGAAAAAAATGTTGAGTTCACACTTCCAATATATGTATATTTATTTATGTTTGTACATGTTTTCACTGTTAAGCTAAATGTCAAATAGTAGAGAAGCTGAATTTCTTTATTGAGATAAGCATAAACAGAATAAAAATAAAATACACAAAAATTGAAAGAAATTTTAAAAATAGAAAATTGTAAAATTTCTTTGCATGTTCTAGTAGATCATTTTATGTGTGTCCTGAGTGCACACACCACAAAGTGGAGATTATTGCTCCAGAGCAGTGCTTTTCTGAGGAACAGATCCCCTGGGCACTGGTTAACATGAAGACTCTGATTCAGCAGGCCTGGGTGGGGCCTGGGATTCTGCATTTCTAACCAGCTCCCAGGTGATGCCAATGGAATTGTTTTGTGAACCACACTTTGAGTAGCCAGGTTAAAGCCTCTTGCTGTCCAAAATATTCATAAGCCACTGAGATTTAGATGCTCAGATTAAACAGTGATATGGCATCTTCTGTTATTCTGGAATGATTTTCTTACTCTCATGTTTTGGTATTTCTAGGTGGAATCCGTGGAATGTGTGTGACCTTCACCGCATTGTTGAATGACTGTCCATCAGAAAAAACAAAAAGTGAAGGGCCACTGGGCAAGGTAAAAGTTTGTTGACTGTCCATTTCTCTTGGCCTTTAAGATCTAATTATCTATTCTTATTCCTCCGAAGGGATTGCGGAAACACAATGAGCCCCATATGGGAGCAGGCTCTATGCCGGGTGCTTTCCATGTGCCATTTCATTTCAGATCTGGCTCTAATGGCAGAAACCAGTCTGAATACAAAGAAATCTGTTGTGTATGCTTGTGTGTGTGTGTGTCTGCGCGAGTGTATGAGAGATTGAAAGAGAGAGAGAGAGAAGGGGGAAGGGCTCGGCTTTCTCTTCTGACCCTCTGTCTGATCTGTTGTGAGTGCTGGACCAAACCATTCAAACTCCCTATGCTCAGGGATGCAGTGAGGATTCCCCAGTTAGTGACAGAATCTGAGTGATTTGTAGGCATTTGTGTACTGATTGTCTTGCCCTCTAGGCATGAATTGTGTTGTATCAGGAGGGCAAGAGGGTTCCAAATAGATTTAATATTCCTTGTATGAGCTTCAACCATCTGCCCGCCAGCTCTCAGTGTGAACATAATATATGTTTCCAGAATCAAACACAAAGAATCTGTTTTTTTTTTTTTTTTCTTTTTCCTTTTTTCAAAGGCTTTTAGTTTAGTTCATTTGTCTTTTCCTTGTCTTTTGGGGTAGGTCACTAGGGTCATCCTCTCTGCAATTTATTTACTTTCATTTTGTTTTCTGATTCCTCTGGCATAGTTAAATAAATGGGTTTCCCTTTCCCAATTTCCATGTACCCACTACAGAACTGTATCCTTGAAATTGGTGCATATCTGTGAAATCTTGTGATGCACCTATGAGGTGGTTGGGATTGAACTGCAGGCGTTCCCAATGGGTACAGATTAGACCCTGGATGTCTGAAAATTCTTCCCAGGCTAAATCTAAATGCTGTTCTGCTGAGTGATGAAACTTTAACTTTTTCCCTTCTTTCAAGGGAAATCTTGTGACTGTTGATGGGACTGTCCTAGTAGCTATAGCTCATCGAAGGACTAAAGTTATTTGGGTGTTGAGTGTCTTTGTCCTGGAACCCTTGTGTCAGTTAAGGTAATTGACATATGGGGATCTTAAGCTCTGAAAGAGATGAAAATAAGTTAAAAGCCAATCAAACAGAGTTCTTAACTTAAAATTTTACTTAACTTAGAGAAATTTAGCAGGACATCTGGGAAGATCTTTTTGTGAAAGTTGGGTGGGAACACAATTAGAGCTCTCCTAGCATTACTCAGCAAGCAGGTGTTAGGCACGGAGTGACTAGTGGAAAGTGAACTTGTAATATTCTCTTGTAAAGGCCTCAGGGCATAGGGGTCAAAATTCTTCAGTTTTGCTCATTTTTATTTAGTCAGCAAAATTTGCATTGTTTTGCGTTAGACAGTGTATATTTAAAAACTGCTTCCTTTTTAAATGCATTTCACATTCAATTCTTCCTACAGGAGAAGGCTAAAAGAGCCCCATCCCTTGCTGCCCTTCTAGTCTATGAAGGATGTGGGCTCTGGAGGACTGCCTGCATGCCTGGCCAGCCTCCGTGTCTTTCTAGCTACGTGACCTTGGGAAGGAAATAAACATCTTCGTGCTGTATTTTCCTCAGTTGTAAAGTAGGGGTTATGATAGTGTCACTCAAAGGAGTTGATGAAATGATCAAATATAATAATGCATAATAATATCTGTAAAGCGCTTAGCACAGTGCCTTCCACAGAGCACCATGTTGGGTGTTGTTACTGTCATTACCATAGAGATGAAGGCTGGAGAAAATTGGGAGTGTGGATCCCCAACATGACTTGTGCTGTTTGGCTGTGGAAGATGTCTGAGACACCCCTCTGCCCGTGGAGAATTGAGAGGTCAGGGCTGCCAGGGGAAGGAACAAAGGAAATAGAAATAGTATTTTATTTTTTTTAAAAAAGCTTTGGTTTAAATATGTGGCTCGTGGAGGTGTGTGGCTGGATGGGAACCATGCTTTCCTTCCTTTCAGGTTGGTGCAGGCTTAGCCTTGCCCTCTCCTCCTTTCAACCTCCAGGTGTTTAGATTTGGTCTGAATTTGAGTCATTTTTGTTTTGGTTGTGAGACTGATGGAGCCCTAGGGGTGACCTTGTCCAGAACTCTTTAATCTCACTTAGTGTCTAGTGCAGAGCACATCTGGGCCTCTATGGATAGTTAGAACTGAACCAGCCTTTAGGGGAATGGTGTGATTTGGGCCAGAGCCAAGAGCCTATCCATTCACTGTCCCAGCTGTCTTTCATGTGGACTTTTTAAGGACATCGGCCACACCAATTAGGATGGACCAGTCAAAGGAGAGATTTGAAGCAATGGAATACAAACAAAAATGGTGTTTGCCTCAAGCCTCTTCTTCCCCTCACCCCCCATCTTTTGGATCTTTAGCTCTCTGGCTCCCATAGGATCTCTTCTCAAGTGTTCAGGTCTATCCCTGCAGTAGCTCTGCTCTTTAGTGCTGGCTCCCTCTCTCTGCTCCATTGTTTGTGCCCTCTGTGGCCACCATTGCTCACGAGGTGGTGCCACGGCCCTGGCCTTGATGTTTCTTTGCCTGGTCTTAGCTACACTCCTGCCTGCTGCTGCCCATTGGTGCACTTGGCTTCAAGGATTTCATATCGATGCCCCACTTCCGTCCCAAGTGCACTTTGGCTCTCCACCCTTGAGCCCTGATTCCGCAGGGTGTGGCATAGCCTTGATGCCACTGTGGGTTTTGTTGTCATTATGCAGTATTAGTCCCCTCATTGTCATTGGTGCTAACCTAGGCACTCCTACCATTACCATGATGAACCAGGCCCTTTCCCACAAGTATAATGACACTTACATTAAGCCCCAAACTGGGGGAGGTGTAACTTATTCTCTTAGTCTCTTACCACGCCTGTAATACTGCAACTTTTCCATTTATTGATTCAGTGTCTCCAGACTGCACCTCTCTTGTGAGTCAAAATGTAAGTTGCCTCCAGGGTTGGGTTAGAAGGAATGACTTAACCCCTTAGATAGCCCAACTTCCTTTTGTGCTGACTGTCAGCCAATTATATTGGCCTAAACCGTGAATCTTTCCCATATTAGAATATGTCTCCTTCCCATCGCAGACACAGAGCAAGGCTGGGAGGACCAGGTGTATCGCTTTGCTCATTAAAGAGCCTCTGGCCATCAGCTTCAAATATCTTGCAAAGATTCTTGCAGGGAGCCCCATTATAGCTTTTCAAATAAATAAACCATGGCAGCTCCCTGTACCAGGACTGAAAGCCCAAATTCCTGCATCAAAGGAGTAAGCTTGGCTGTGATGTGGGGGTGGTACCTAAAGGATAAGATACTGGGTCCTTCTCCATCTCCCTCCTCCCCTCTTTCTCTCTCTCTCTCTCCCTGCATTCCTTTCCCTCTCTCCCTCCCCTCTCTCATTTTTTTTTTCTTTTGTTTTGCACCTAGCTCAAAGAAAAGGTTTTTGGGGGCAAAATCAGCCCTGCCATGATTTAGTGAAGATGTGCAGGGGCGCTGAGAAAGTAACTCAGTAGAAATAGTGTAGGTTAACAGGAGGTTTAGACTCTGGGCCCCACTACTGCTAATAGACTAGCTGTGTAAACTTGGGCAAAAACCTTAATCTCTCTGTGCCTCTTATTCTGTCAAGTGGGGTTGGGGGAGGAGGAAGTGGTAGATTGGATGAAATCCTTAAAAACATTCTCTTTTTGATGGAAATGGGCTTTTAGCAACTAGTGATGGAAAAGGCCTAGTATGCACTAAACTTTCCTACCCACCTTCTCGGTAAGGTAGAACGGGGGCCCAGACAGAAGCTGCATGCTCGCTTGTTGTACCAAGAAAGAAGTGAGGCAGATATTAAGTTGAAATCAATAGTATTACTTGAGCACAGATAATGGAACTATTTTCCCCCAAACTGTTTTGATTGCTGCCAGTAACTGCTATTTGGTATGAAATCCATTCAGATCCTCAAAAGTCAAAGGAACATACAGTGCATGAAAAGACGTTGTAATCGGCACCATTGTAACTCTGTACGGTGTGTGATCTTAGCTGGGAGGAAGGGAGGGTTGTCAGACAACTTGTAATCTAATTGTCTTTGTTGTAAAGTAGAATGTTGCCATTGTATTCTTGTGGAATTATAGTTATACCATCTCAGCCAAATAGAGCGCCTTTCTCATCAGGTGGTTAAAGAGCTCAATAGGCATCCCGTCAGCCTTGTAAGCATAGTAAACCCTGGCCCGCTTGCATTTCTGTCAACTGTAATTTCCTATCAGCCAGCGTGTCCCCTCATCCTTCCTACCAGGATAAGTGATTTTATGCTGGTGAACCTGACGCCCCAAGAGACACTGAAGTACCTTCTGAATCATCAAAGAATTATGAAACCTTCAGTAGAGTTTCGGTGTTAATTGCAATTTATGACAGCCTAATTTTTTGAAAAGTGGTAATTCAAGTGTTGCATAGCTGGTAATTAGTTGGAATAGTTGATTAATCAGACTGCTCTATTTTCTGACCATACTGAAGTACAGTATTTATAGTAACTGCAACACCGGCTCTCCCTGAGAGCCACGAAGCAGGCAGGGTTTGAAAGTAGTATTCTTTATTTTATCTTTATTATTTTTTTATTGAGGTATAACTGACATACAATATTATATTAGTTTCAGGTGTACAACATAATGATTCGATATTTATATATTGTGAAATGAACACCACAATAAGTCTAGTTAACACCTGTCATCAAACATAGTTATAGAATATTTTTTCTTGTGATAAGAAATTTTAAGATTTACTCTTAGCAACTTTCAAATGTGCAACACAGTATTATTAACTGTAGTTGCCATGCTGTACATTACATCCTCATGACTTATTTACTTTATAGCTGGGAGTTTGTACCTTTTGACCCTCTTCACCCATTTCAGCCCCCACCCCACCCCCAATCCCTGTCTCTGGCAACCACCAGTCTGGTCTCTGTATCTATGAACTTGGTTTTTTTTAAGATTCCACATACAAGTGAGATCATATGGTATTTGTTTTTCTCTATCGGACTTATTTCACTTAGCATAATGTCCTCAAGGTCCATCCATGTTGTCACAGATGGCATGATTTTATTTATTTTTATAGCTAAATAATATTCCATTATAGATACACACACACATATATAAGATATTTTCTTTATCCATTCATCTGTTGATGGAGACAATAGTATTCTCTAGACTTGGCAGGCATACATTATTACTCATTCTGGGCAAATGATCATTTCCAGAACTTATTCTTGAACTTCTACATTAACTTCTAAGAGAAAATAGGAAAATTATAAAAATAGATTATATTTGCTTCTTATGGCTTTGCAATCCCTAGGGTCATTGCTGATAACTAGACTGCTAGCTCTAACAGTAAAGGTGAGTGTCTCTAAAACTGAATTTTGTATATTTAGTAGAGCTTCTTTACAGAGATTCCTTAAGGGGAATATCAGTGCAGTAGATTTCATTGCATTAATTGGTCCATTCTAAATGTGTTACTAAAGGGATAAGATCTTAAATCAATTAAGATTAACTTGATAACTTTTTTTTTTAATCCCCAAGTTCTTAATGATGGGATCTTAAAACAAAAGTATTAGAATTGGTGTTGTGCTCAGGTTCACTGCAAAGAATAGAAAAATTCAGGAATATGTAAGAAGAAAATAAAAAATAATCCATTATCCTATCACCCAGAGAGAACTACGATTGCCTTTTGGTATGTTTCCTTCCATTTTCTTCCTATGTATACACGTAAACATTTCACAAAGTTAGCATATACTACATGTACTGTATGTTGTCCCCCACCAACATTATGTAAGGGACATTTTCTAGGTCAGTAAATATTCTTTAAAAACATATTTCATGCTGACCATTTTTATGAATCATAATTTATCAATCCAATCTCCTGTTGTTAGACTTTAGGTGGTTTACAAATTATGGCTTTATAATACTTCAACAAGTATCTTTCCTCATTTGTTTGCCCATTCATCTATTTATTCAATCAATTTTTACTGAGTACTATGTACCAGGCTCTGGGTCAGTAGTTGAGGATATATCATTAATCATAATCCTTCTAATACAGGTAGTTAACATTTATTACCATTACTAACTATGGACCAGGAACATTATTAGTACTAGTATATTAATTATATGAATATGTATTAGTATCATAATCATTCTAATAAGTTGTTAGTATAATAGTATTAACTAATTAAATCCTTATGAGGTAGGTATTATTATCATCCCTATTTTCCAGAGAAGGAAACAGAGGCTTACATAATTGAAGTGACTTGTCCAAAAATCACTCGGTTGGTACTTGGAAGAGCCAGAATTCAAACCCAGGCTGCCTGACTCCAGTCGTGCTCTTTTAACCACAGTGGCTACTATGTCAGTAAAAAAGATGCTCCCCTGCCCCTATGGACATGAAACAATTTTAAATGTAATACTCTTTGAGTTATGTTGATTATCTGACTTTTTGATTTGATTCTCTGAGTATTTTCTTAGGATAAAGTCTAGAAATAGAAATGCTGAGTCAAAGATTATGAATAATCCTAGTGAATAATACCGTGGTTAAGGTCCTAAATGGGGGAGGACCCAAGATTACAAGATTATGTATCTATCTATCTATTAATCTATCTATCTATCTATCTATCATCTATCCATCCATCCATGCATCCATCCTGGCTCTCTGTTGTTGCTCTACCAGCAAGGTAGACAGCAGGAAATAGGTATAGTAATGATTCAGGCCTGGGCAGGCCCCAGAGAAGGTCTGGGCAATGCTCTTCCTATCAAGGCAGAGTCAGTGGGTGGCTGCCCTTCAGAAATGTTTCTCTTGACACTAGAAGATGCAAGATGGCAGAGGAGAGGCAGCATGGAGAGGAAAATCTCATCAAAGAAATGAGTCTAGATCACAAGTGAATGTACAGCCCCTTAAAATGAATATCATCACAAGAAAATGCTCACTAAAAATCACGAGTTCAGTTAAAGATTTTCTTATTTCAGTTAGTATTTAGTATAGCCTTCCTTGCACCTAAACCATAAATTACTCACATAGGGCAAGTGACTATCTGTAAACATTCTTTCTGTTTCTTAAATTCCATACTTCTTCTTAAGTTCCACTCCCCCAAATGGACATTACCTGTTCTTTGCCAGCTTTCTGTGATGTAGTATCATGTAATAGCAAAAACACAGACTTGATTGGCAGCTGAACTAGGCGTAATTCCTGGCTCTGCCGCTAACCTGCTGTGTGGTGTTGGACAATCTTTCTAATTCTCAATTTCTTCCTTTTAAAATAATACAGAGTTGTAACGGCGATCAAATGAAGTGCCATGAGCAGAAAAAAATAACAGCTAACCTGTATTGAGTTCTTATTATAAGTATCACAAAATAAGACACTCTTCTGTTTAAAATGCATACATGTACTTATTCCTCAGAATAATCACATGGTAAGCTGGATTCTAGATAGCTCTAGGGCTTTCACCCCTGGTGTTCCTTCTGTGATTATGTTACATTATGTGGCAAAAGGGACTTTGAAGATGTGATTAAGGGACTAATCAGTTGACCTTAAGATAGGAGGATTATGTAGGTGGGCCTGGATATCACAATCATGTAATCACATGAGCCTCTTAGAGCAAAAAGTTTTCTCTGGCTGTTGGCAAGAAAAGAAGTCAGAGAGATTTGAAGCATGAGACAGACTCAAGGCAACTGTTGCTTAGAAGATGGAAGAGGTCACTTGAGAAGGAGTCTGGGCAACGTCTCCAGGTGGAGGGTGGGCACCCTGCTGACAACTAACAAGGAAACAGGGACCTCAGACCTATAGCTGCAAGGAACTGGATTCTGTCAACAACTTGTGTTTGAAAGTGGATTCTTCTCAGAGCCTCCAGATGAGAGCCCAGCTGGCTCTATCTTGGTTTTGGCCTTGTGAGATCCGAAGCAGAGAAGCTCCCCAAACTTCTAACCCACAGAACTGCGAGATAATAAATGGGTGTTGTTTTAAGATGCTAAGTTGTGACAGCAATAGAAGAAGAATGCAGACCGCATGCAGTAGCTACCTTTATTCTTATGCTCGTTTTGCAGATGAGAAAACTGGAGCACAGAGAAGTGAAGCCACTCGCCTGAAGTCTCACAGCTATTAAATATCAGAAGTGGGATTTAAATTGAGGTAGTCTGTCCCCAGAGCCCACAGCCTAACACGGCGACACAGTGCCTGAGACATTTGTAGGTACTCATTGTTTGTTAGTTTTCTTTTTCTTTTTAGTGTAGCTTAGAGGGCACCTAGCTGCCACAATTCTCGAGTTTGCTGCTGGTGGGGCATCTGGTGCTTCGGCAGTGGGCTTGGGATAAAGATAGTGTACTTGGAGCATTAGTCTTCCTCGTGGGAGTAGGTCTTTTTATATTATAACAAACCTGAATATTTCATAGGCTAGAATGCAAAATGTAAAACCAGAGATGTCAAAAAGACTTTGTTTTTGATGATCTCTTTACTACGAAAAATACTTGACTGAAAAAAGTTTGAGAAGCACTGAGCTGATATATTCAAACTAATTTACACCTTTCCTTCTTATTTTATTCCCTAAATTCACAGTGGGTTTGCTGTACCAGCTAGAATTCTGGAAGGAGAATCAGGAAACCTGGACCCAGTTATTCATCACCATCCATCCAACCAGCCATCCTCTATTCATGGAGTCAGACGATAATTTGTAGAGTGCACCTATGTGCCTGGAGTGTCTCTAAGACAATGTGACTTGATGATGTAATACAAACTCTTCTAGTTCTGCTCCCTTGCATTTAAAACTAGGTGATATAACAAAACTTTCTCTGTCTATTACCAATTGAATGCTTTTACAGTTCTTGTATGTGCTGACCTCCGGATCTGACAAGGTAGTGTAGTGTTTCTCAAAGTCCAGCCTGGGTACCACCTGCAGCAGAATCTCCTGGGTGCTTAATAAAAAAAAAAGCAGATCCTGAGGTTTCCCCAAATCTTCTGAATCAGAAACACTGGGAGTTGGGGACCAGGACTTCTGGTTTTAAACAAGCTCTCCGGGTTATTCTCATGCACACTTGAAGTTTGAGATGTACAGCTATATGGATGCAAAATAAATACCTAACATAGGTCCTGTGTCCTAAAAATATCTCCCTTATTAAAAGACAAGCGTTATAGGCTTGGAGAGAAAAACAGGGCCATACGTTTCTGTATCAGCCTCCTGGCCAGGCTCATTCGTCCCCTACCCCACCCCCATCCCAGCCAAGGCTGTGATTCTGGAGCATATCTGGCCCAGACCCTGTGCCGACAAAGTCACCTTTCCTCTTCTGGGGCTTGCTTGTGCCTGGCCCGTTCATTAAGAGGGGTCAAAGTGGTCGTGAGCTGGAGGTCCCCCTCCCAGGCTTCGGGAGGCTTTTCCCTTTCCCTGAGGCAGGGTGGGGCTGGCGCAGGCCGCCGGGGTCCCCTGCGGGCAGCTCGCGCCTTGCAGCCGTAACCCGCCGGGTCAGCCGCGACCTGAGACAGCCTTTTCCACCTCCTCCGGCGCGGAGAGGGGAAACTGGGGAAGTGGGGCACCCCGGCCGGCCCCGTAAGCAGACGCTCCCCCGGCCCTCGCCTCCCGCTTTCCGGCGGAGCGTCAGGCCTCGGCGAGCGCTGTGGCTGGAGCGGCGGTGCCCGGGGACGGGCCGCCAGTGCCCGCGCCTCGGCGCTCTGCCATCCGGTGCCTTTGCCCGCGCGCGACGCCAGTCCTGCGGCGCGTTGGCCCTCCCGTCACCCCCTCGGCGGGGCCCTTCCCTTTGCTCTGGTGACAGTGACATTCAGCGGGAAAGGCTAGCGCAGACGGCAGCGCCCCGCTCCCGCGGCGCGGGAGGTTGGAGCGGCGGACCCGGCCGCGCGTGCTCGCACCCCGCACTACGGGCGGCGGCGGCAGGGCAGCAGGCGAGCTCGCCCCCGCCGCGCCCCCGCCCGGCTCGGCTGCCGGCAGCCCCCAGCCCCGGGGCGCGCTGGCCGGCCGGCTGCGGGCGAGACCTCGGCGCCTGGGCTCTCGCGCAGGGAAAGGACGGATCCGGCGCCTCGGGAGAGCCCCTGCCTCACTGCTCGTATATGGCAAAGTTTCTCGCCAAGCTCCTGGGCTGCACGTTGCCGAGCAAGGGCGCCTCTCCCATGTGTGAGGTAGGTGGAGGGTGTGTCCCCGCAGCGACGGCAGTCGGCGGCGGCGGGCTAAGCCCTGACCGGGGGCCCTGGACCGTCTCACTTGCCGGGTTTCCACCTGCAGGTCTGGGGTGGGGCGGGGAGGGTGGCCAGGGGGAGGCCGGAAACCCGGGAGCCTAAAATCTAGCTCCTCTGGACCTCCGTGAATCTTTTTTTTTCCTTCCCTAGTTGACAGGCGAGCACGGTTTCTGTCAATCCAGTTTTGCGAGGTGCTCTTTACCTAAAAGGCCAGGAATGTCTGAAAATGAGCGGGATCCCGCAGTCCCTCTTTGCTGCCTACTTTGTTTCTTCGTTTTTCCTTTTCATCTGAAAAACAACAACAACAACAAAAAACAAAAGCAAAACAAAACAAAACAAACCCAGTACGTGCAATCTTCAGGTCAGAAGGCTTCCACCTTGCCACCTCCTCTACTCCCCTCCCCCAGGCACCAGCACACCGCAAACTCCACTGAACTTAACTCATTTCTTCCTTCCGGAGTGAGATCCATTGGGGACGAGAAGGGTTAAAATGGGATTTACCAAATCAGGTGAACAAATCGCAGTTCTGAAGGCAGGTACATCTAACTGCTCACCTGTCTGAGGTGGCAGTGATGCTGCTGTAAGCATCTCTGCAAGGAGTCGTTTATGGGAAGGCTGGCTTGCTTCTCCTCCTGGGGCCAGTGGTGGCATAAACTGTTTTATAGGAAACCTATAGCGGCCGCTCAGTAGGGACCGGCGTCACAATGTGCATAGCCCCCCCCCCCACCTGTCCAGTGGGAACAGTGTGTGTCCTTTGTCTACTCCTGCCCTCCCCCAACAGGCTGCCTGACAACCAGGCCTGGGCCAGGGGAAGTTGGCTGCGACCTGCGTGGCTCTCCTCACTCAGTCCGAGGCCCCGACAACTTTCCCTGCCAGCCTCAGGCTGCTTGGGAGCTGCTGCAGCCCTCTGGCCTCAGTTTCCTGACTGGCCAGAGAGAAGCAGAATTTGGTCTCTTCTCTCGTGATGCAGGAGCTTGTCCTTCAACAAGCCAACTCTTCCAGATTCAAGCTCTTAGTCTCTTCCCTGGCTGCTCTTGACTCTATTCTCGCCTCTGGCAGCTGTAGGTATTCTTACCTTCTGAGGTCCCTTGGTCACCTTCCTTTGACTTTGGAGCTCAGGTTGTTCAACCCAGAATCTCTGCTGTGTGACAAGACAGTTTTGAAACAGGGAGGTCCCAATAGTAGGTGATGAAGAGGAGCTGGGAAAATAAGAGCAGACTGGGAGAAACCAGACTGAAATACCTGGGTACTCGGTAGCCGAAATCTCAAAAGTAATGAAGAGCCCGGAAAAGTAAAGTTTTCCAGGCCTGCAGCTAAAATTAACTGTCTCCTTTGGCATGTGGCATCTCTGCCCACTTGCTTCTCTGTGACATAAATGTTAGGCAGCATTTGGGGGTCGTTCTGGAGACTGGACGTACTCCTTTAAAATTGCTTTTCTCTTTGGTTTTCTCTTCACTTGTATTTGGATTTTCGTTCCGAAATTACCAGAACCCATGCCAAGCGATTTCAGTTCTATGTGCTGCCTTTGGCTGTATATTCCTGCCTGTTTTATCCTCCAGCCAATAGATGCCCCACCTTGATTTCTTAGAATAATTGACTCCCAATCATGGCTGGGAGGAGGGGGCCTCAAAAACTAGTCAGAGACCTATTTAGACAGTTCAGAAAATGAGTGGCTGTTTTGTCTTTGAAGAGCTCTAGGGAGAGGGAATTCCCTCAGTCCTTGGTAACTCCTTGTTTCTTGCTTTGTGTTATTTTCTAACCACCGAGAGGCAGGAGCTACTGTGGCATCTGCTCTCTGCTTTCCACAGGTGATTGATGCAGTGCTGGCTGAATTAGCCCCAAACACTTCACCCCAGTATCACTTTTGATCAGTGCTGCTGGAGGAGTTAAGTGATCATCCCTTTCCTACCTGTGGCGGAAAATCTGTGCCCCCAAAGAGATGAATAAGTCAGGAATGTGTTTCAAGGATGCTTTCTTCTCAGGCAACCACCCCTTCAGCACACTCTTAGTCATAAATGAAGAGGCAGTTGTTGAGAGCTCTTGACATCTGGGAGGGAGAGAAATGTGTAAGAAAGAGATTCTTAAGCCTTTCTAAATATTTCTTTTCTAAAAGTGAAAGTAGTGCTAGGATATGAGAAAATTTTAGGCAGCTTTTCGTTTCCACCGAATGCTCTGATCCTAACTTTGGGGGTTACCTTTAGTTTCAGGGAGATCAAGAGCAGAGATGGATGTTTTCATGATGCATGGCCTTTGGTTTCATTTTGGTTAGGAGGTGGCCAGAATGCAGTTTCTTCCTACACAGGCCAAGTAGGTTTGCACAGAGGAGATTTTGCCTGCAAGAGTACTGAGTCCCGACAGGACCTCCGGTGTGTTTGCAGTTGTCTGACAAGGGAGAATGGGTGACAGGCTATGGAGAACATGGGAGCAAAAATTCACTGTGGTTGAAAAACAATGCCAGTGCGTATCCTGCTGTGTCATCTTCAGAGGCTAAGGACAGATGGTGTGCATTTGAAACACAGAGTGTCTCCATGATCATTTTGTTAACCTTTTTATTAGTATTTAAGTTTACAAACCAAGTCTTTGAGAAACAATTTTAAAATTTCAAGAAAAAAGCAAAGGATGATAAGTTTACCCCCAGCCACAGCAGCATCCTGAGCACTGGGCTAGATGTTTGGAATAATGTTTGCACTGCATCAAGGCAGAGGTCCCCCAGAAAGAGTGGACTTGCTGTGTATTCTGACGTCTAGAAAGGTAGGACATGCTAAGCACATGGGTAGGTGGTTTCAGACCCAACAGGTCCTACTTACATGTGTCCTGTATGCTTGGATGGATAGATGTCTGGCCCTGGCATCCATTCCTTCCCCTTTAAGTTCTGACATGTCATGAACCTGCCCCCCCACCTCCAGCCTCAGTGTTGCTTTGCTTTGTGCCTCAGGGTTAGTCAGTGATGGGGTCTGGTTCCAGGACAGGAAGTGGCAGGAGAATCAAATAGTCAGAGGTGATGGCTTTCTCTCCTCCCAGAGCCCTCTTCCCTCAGTCTGCAAATGTGCATCTTTAATCCTGCCATCCTACACCATCTAACCTAGTGGGGCACCTTTCAGGAGCCACATCCATTGGGCAGAACACATCTGGCTCCACAGAAAAGGGCTGTCAGTTCCATGCCACTGTCATGGATGTGGTCTCTAGAACTGTCACACCTCATGTACATTCTACTTATTTCCACATTCTGTTTTCTGTTTCCACCAATATTGCTGCCTAACTGTAACTATAGTTTTATTTAAGTTTTTACATAATACATAATAGCTATCATTTATTGCCTACTCGGGGCCAGGCATTGTTCTAAGGGCATAATATACATGATATCAGCTCTCCTCTCAATAGCTTCACAGTTTAGGTGTAACAACCACGTTTTACAGATGAGAAAATTAAGGTTTAGAGAGTTTACGTAATTTGCTTAAGGTCACTCTAGTAATATGTGCTAGAGTGAGGATCTCAAGGTTCCCCTCCCTCCTTCAACTATAGTTACTCAGTACTTAGTTTTTTCGCTTTGTTTTATTTTTTGTTTTCTACCTCGGCTTCATTTCTAGATATAGTCTTTCTCTTTAGAAGTAGGAAAGGCAAACCCTCATTCCTCCACATTCTTTCTTTCATTCTTTCACTCCCATTATGTTACCATTGGGATGGCATGAGTACCTTACCCCTGGAAATGTTCAATCCAAGGCTGATTGAACTCAGAAGAATTGTTAAGGGAAAGATTCAAGTTCAATCGCCGTGACGCTTTACAGATAGCATCCATTTATGGAGCATTTCCTGTATGTTGTCCTG